TTTGCGGAACACAGGCTCCAGGCCACATGGCCTTCAGCAGCTGTGGCTCATGGTTTAGTTGCATTGTGGCATGTGGGGTCTTCCCAGACCAGGGACTGAACCCAAGTCTCCTGCATTGACAGGCAGATTCTTTATCACTGAGCAACCAGGGAAGCCCCCTTGTTCACATTTTAAAGTGTCTCTTCAGTTCTCATTAAATGAACTTTATGTTTACTCCCTATATCTGGGTCTTGGTTAGTTTCCTAGTATACCAAAGATGCAAGACTAAGTGTTCTCTAAGGTTTCTCCTAGCACTATCAGTCTGGTGTAATATATGAAGGTAGGGTATATTTTAGTATTCATCACAGCCTTCTCTCACCACCACATTAAACAGTGTACAGTAGAAAAAGAGAGGATATTAGCCACAGACAAGAAACCCAGATAAGAAAAAAAAAAAGTATTTAAACTGGAATGGAAGAGATAAAACTGTCACTATATGCAGATGACATGATGCTCTATATAGAGAACTCTAAAGACACTACACAAAAACTATTAGAACTAATAAATGAATTCGACAAGGTAGCAAAATACAAGATTAATACACAGAAATATGTTGCATTTCTTAAAAATGAAATATCAGAACAAAATCCCATTAAATATCATGCCAAAGGACTTCCCTGGTGGTACTGTGGGTGGGAATCTGCCTGCCAATGCAGGGGACACAGGTTCACTCTCTGGTCAAGGAAGCTTCCACATGCCTCAGAGCAGCTAAGCCTGAGTGCCACAACAATTGAGACTGTACTCTAGAGCCCGTGAGCTGCAACTACTGAAGCCCATGAGCCTAGAGCCTGTGCTCCACAACAAGAGAAGTCACTGCAATGAGAAGCCTGTGTGCTGCAACTAGAGAAAGCCTGGGCACAGCAACAAAGACCCAACGCAACCAAAAAAAAAAAAGTGTAAAATTAAAAAAAACACAAAAATACCCCACCAACATAGGAATCAACTTAATTAAGGAGGTGAAAGACCTATACATTGAAAACCACAAAATGTTGATAAAGGAAATTGATAACTCAAAGAAATGGAAAGACACGCCATGCTATTGTTTTGGAAGAAATACCATTGTTAAAATGGCCACACTGCCCAAAACAATCTACAGATTTAATGTGAGTCCTATCAAAATACCCTTGACATTTTTCACAGAACTAGTACAAATAATCCTAAAATCTATATGTAACCATAAAAGACAGAATTGCCAAAGTAATTCTGAGGAAAAAGAACAAAGCTGGAAGTATAACTCTTTCAGACCTCAGACAATACTGCAAAGTGACAGTAATCAAAACAGCATGGTATTGGCACAAAAACAGGAACATAGATCAGTGAAACAGAATAAAAAGCCCAGAAGTAAACTCATACACCTATTCTCAATTAATCTTCAACTAAGGAGGCAAAGTGTACAATGGAGAAAAGACAGTCTCTTCAACACATGGAATTGGGAAAGCTGGACAGCTACATATAAATCAATGAAATTAGGACAATCCCTCATACTGTATACAAAAATAAACTCAAAATGGTTTAAAGACCAAAATATAAGACATGACACCGTAAAATTCCTAGAAGAGAACATAGACAATACTTTCTTGGACATAAATCATATCAATATATTCTTAGGTCAGCCTCCCAAGGCAAAAGACTTAAAAACAAAAATAAACAAATGGGACCAAATCAAACTTAAAATCTTTTGCACATAAAAGGAAACCATCAACAAAACTAAAAGATGACCTACAGAGTGGGAGAAAATATTTGTGAATGAAGTGACTGACAAGAGGTTAATATCCAAAATATACAAACAGCTCATATGACTCAATTAAAAAATAAACAAACAAACAAACCACAAATAACCCAATAAAAAAATGGGCAGAAGACCTAAATAGACATTTGTCCAAAGAAGACATAGTGAAAGTGAAAGTCGTTCAGTAGTGTCCAACTCTTTGCAACCTCATGGACTATATAGTCCATGGAATTATCCAGGCCAGAATACTGGAGTCAGTAGCTCTTCCCTTCTCCAGGGGAGCTTCCCAACCCAGGGATTGAACCCAGGTCTTCCACATTGCAGGCGGATTCTTTACCAACTGAGCTATGAGGGAAGCCCAAAGAAGACATACAGATGGACAATATGAAAAGATGGACAACATGAAAAGATGCTTAACATCACTAATTACTAGAGAAATGCAAATCATAATCATAATGAGGTATTACCTCACACCAGTCAGAATGGCCCTCATTAGAAAGTCTACAAATAATAAATGCTGGAGAGGGTGTGGAGAAAAGGGAACTCTCTTACACTGTTGTTGGAATAAACTGGTGCAGTCACTAAGGAAAAAAGTATGGAAATTCCTTATAAAACTAAAACTAGAGCTAATATATGATCCTGCAATCCTACTTTTGGGCATATATCCAGAAAAGACAAAAGCTCTAATTCGAAAAGATAATGGACCCAATGTTCCAATGTTCATAGCAGCACTACTTACAATAGCCAAGATATGGAAACAACTTAAATGCCCAACAACTGTTGATTGGTTTAAGAAGATGTTGTGTGTATATATATATATATATATACACACACACACATACAACATGGGATATTACTCGGCCATAAAAAGGAATGAAATAATGTCATTTGCAACACCATGAATGGACCTAGAGATTATCATATTAAGTGAAGTAAGTCAGACAGAGAAAGACAAATAATATGATATCACTTATATGTGGAGTAAAAAATAATACAAATGAATCTATATACAAAACAGAAACAAACTCATAGGCATAGAAAACAAACTTACAGTTACCAAAGAGGAAGTGGGAGGGAAAAATTGGGAACATGAGATTAACAGATACAAACTGTTAAATTAAAAGTAGATAAGCAACAAAGATTTACTGTATGGTACAGGGAATTATATTCAGTATATTGTAATAACCTATAACAGAAAATAATCTGGAAAAAAGCAACTGAATTACTTTACTGTATACCTGGAACAAAACTAATACAATATTGCAAATCAACTATATTTCAATTAAAGAAAAAGAAAAAGGGATGACAGTTTCCTCCATCATGGGCCTCAACAGGCTCTCAACAAAAATTTTTTTCCTTAAATGATTTAATCTATAGATTATTTCATGAGAAAATATCTTGATTCTAACAACTTTGTTATTTTATCTGTTATTCCTTCTTAGAGAACATTGAGTGACCTCCTTCATACAGTAATGATAATGTTGGTGATTTCATTAATTCACCTTTAGGGTGAAGATAGTACCTGGGAAGATAAAGTGGAAAAATGGAAAGAAACTAACATTTTGGTGACACTATTGGAGCCCCTGGATCAACCCTTGCTTAAAGCTTGAACTGGAATTTTCAGTTACATGAGCCAATGCATCACCTTTATTGTATAAGACAGATGTGGATTTTTTTTACTTGCAGTTAAAAGCATCCTAATGATAATATTTCTATTTAGAGTATAACTTGAACATATGACTTCTAGCCAATAAGTGCTCGAAGAAGCTGTGTCTGACACTTTGTGACCCTCTTGACTGTAGCCCTCCAGACTCCTCTGTCCATGGGATTCTCCAGGCAAGAATACGGGAGTGGGTTGCATGCTCTTCTCCAGGGGATCTTCCCTACTCAGGAATTGAACCCATGTCTCTTCTGTCTCCTGAATTGGCAGGTGGGTTCTTTACCATTAGTGCCACCTGGAAAGCCCCTTTTAATTTATTATCACATAAGTAAAAGTGGAGTTTATTATTTGGCAGGGTAAACAGTAAATACATTATTTTGCTTTTGAGACGAAAACAAAGACTGAAATGCATTAAATAAATTCAGTGACAATTAACCAATGGCTATATGTGTTATATATCAACAAGACAGATTTCAGCTCCTAGGGCACAGAGTGATTAACTTCTTTTTTGCATCCTGCTCACTCATCACATCACCCTTCCTTCTGAGCCAACACTTGGCCACAGTCTCCCTTTGTGGCAGCCACTGCCAATTTCTGAGACCTGGGACATGAGATAACACCTATTTGTGCTCCTTGTCATTTCATTCTATCTGCTCTTAAATGTCAGAATGGGGACTAACATGACTATGGGTTTTGCAAGAAAATAAATGCAAAGCTTTTGAAAGAGAGACAAAAGGATTCATTCATTCATTCATTCTTTCCAACAAATATTTTATGTTTCATGGAAGAAAAGGAGTGAGACTAAACTCATAGATTTTAACAGTAAAGTAGCATCTGCCCTCCTGTGTGCAGAAGTCAAGAACCACAAGGTTTCCAAGTCAGCAGCAACCACAGACTCACCAGTGAGAGAAACTGTAGTGCTCATCTCCTTCCACAGAGCGGCACTCCAAGCTCATCACTGAAAGTGCCCACAGGGTCGCTTCTGTGAGCCGTTGGAGAACAAGTGCTTCTCATCTCCTCTCCATACCTAGGGATTATTGAGTAAAATGAAAAGTACATTTAGCAGGGCTCTTTGTGAATGATGCGAAGCTATTTTAACATCAACCCCTATGGTTCCAGCAACTTCTTCTAAATTAATTCATGTTTAAAAAACTTAACAGAAATGTGTTAAGTTTGAGAACAAATTGGACTTCAGATCTGTGTAGATCTCCGTTATACACAGATGAAATAATCATACAAAACAAAGGATACATTGCGGGCAAAATATTTCTCATTCAAAGCTTTATTATGGTTTATCAGAAAACTAGAGTCAGCTCTACCTCAAACACTCATGCCTTCATCAGAATGGGCAGTATAGAATTAAAAAATACATCTTGAATAAACAGTTTTAGATAAATATGAGTTAGGTCTCAACACTTATTATCTTTATCCCTGTGTCTGGGAGAAAAATCTTTCAGTATTTCCAAAGGCTTGATAGAATTTCCAAATCAGTAGTGGATGAAGGTGAGACCGTGCAGCTTTGATGAATCAAATACGAGTGTATAGGATGGGCCTTAGAGTTTGTTTCTCATATTACAAAATGAAACCATCAAAGGGGAGATTCTTGTCTTTCCTAGTACATGAAAAAAGACTTTGAGGACCAAATCCTGGAAGGCTGGCGTCAACGCCGCCAGGCGTGCGACTCCCTTCTGGGCCCGGGAGCGCCGCCGAGGGAGCCCGTGCGTTTCCGCTGGTGAGGGGCGCTCCGAGCGCTCCCACCGCCCGCCCGGGCAAACGGAAAGGGCTAATTGGCTTGCAGCTCAACAGCACATTTAAAAGGCAGCATAAAAAGCCCAGAAGAGCAGCAGCCCAGATTGTGGAGCCGGCAGGGCTGTGGGCTTTGAGGGTTCCTGGGGAGAAAGGGGAAGGGGCGGCGCGCCCCGCCTCGGACAGATGGATCCCCGGCTCCCGCGGCCAGCGCGTGGGGGGCGGCCGCACCAACATCTTCCCACTTGGTTTAAGTTTATTCTGGGCCGCCGGGAGCTGGAACAGGAAATGTTCAGTCTTTCATGTCCGCTGGCCGGCTGCAGTTTTGCACCTCCCGGCGAGCGCTGATGAGTTGGTTGATTCTGCTGCGTTTGAAGTTCACAATTTATTATTAAAGAGAAGTGGCAGTGATTAGTTCGGAGTTCTCAGAGAACTAAATAAATATTTACCAAATAACAAGGTCCAGGCCTACAAGAAACGGCTCGAACAGGTTTCTGAAATCCCTGCGAGGGCCCGAAGTGCCGCGCCCAGGCAGGAAGTGGAGTCGCGGGCTTCCCTTTTGGGGGTATGCCATCTGCAGACGGCGGGCCGCTGGGGACCTTTGTGAGTCGGGGCTAAACGGAGAACATCCCGGTCCTGAGTCCAAGTCGGTGGTCTGCGGTTTTAAATGGTTCCTTAGGCTGTGTTTCTTGTATAAAGGCAGAGGTGACTGTCAAGCTAAACTTTGAACTTTCCTTTTAAAACAATTTAAATAATGCAGCATTTTATTGCTCAGACATGTATTGCTTCTCACATTAGGATTTTCTTAGCCTCTGTATACTCCAAGATAGATTAAAATTGTGAACACTGAAAAGAGTATATTTAGACGGTTTATTTGGCAAACAACTTATAAGATGGCATCCTTGTCAAAAGGATTTATGTTGGTTATTTTAAAAACCTTTTCCCCTTAATATTAGACTAAGACTTTAGCTCTAGAAAATGTAGAATATGGATATATTCGTGCATCGATATTAAGCTATCAGTATTCCAGTTTTGTGTGATTTTTTTTTCAGTCACACTTTTTTTGTGAGAATTTTCTAATGACATAAAAAATTTCTAGAAAACATTACCAATTGTTGAACATTAAGGTGGATCCCAGAATAGCGCAGTTAACATAGTTACACATAAGTCTGTTTGCATCTTTCTGATTATTCCCTTAGGAAAAATGCCCAGGTATGGAATTAGCAAGACAAGCATATGAAAAAATTTAAACTACTTAGTGCATCTTGCTGAATTTATAGAATGTAAATTGAAGAAATTAATAGGTAAGACACCATTTTAATTTGAATTTCTTTGAGTATGACTATGAGTTCTTTCAAAACAGGGCCATATTTTGCTCATCAACAATTTGGTGTCTTGTGTAATACCAGATACATATTTGGTACTTAATAAATATTTGTTGATTGAATAAGGAAAAGATGAATAAATGTTAGCAGGACATTTGAATTTCTTGTTGTGTCAGTTGCTTTTTTTATATTGTTCAGTTATCGATTATTGTGAGAGTTGTCTTTTTCTAATAATTTAAACTGTGTTTTACATAGGAATTTAGTCTTTTGTCCCTTATGTGGCAAATCATATGTGCCCTCTCCAAATCAAAAGTGTATTTGTGTGTGAGTACTTTTTGATTTCCAGAGTTAAAAAAAAAATCTCGTATTTTTAAACACTTTATCACATATGCAAATTAATTAGCTATAGCTGTGCAATCTAAGATTTGATGCAGTTTTATATATTTTAGACATAAAATATATGTTTACCAAGTTGTTCCTTGGAGTTTTTTTCTAGGACATAATACATCAAGTAAAAGGCATTGCAATTTTAGTCTGATAAACACTAGGCTCAAGACCTGTTGTCATACCAGAGAAGATCTGTCAAGTCCTTAGTTCCCAAACAACTAACAAACGCTTCTTGCTGCTCTTTCATTTACCCTTTTCTTTTCTTGTACATTACTATTGATGAATAGAAAAAGGATCTTAGTTTTTTAAGGGGTTTTCTGCACATATCTCATTCCAAATGAACATATAATCCCCTTAGGTATCCCACCTGGCTGTGGTTGAAATGACAGAGTGTTAGGGACCATGGGATGGAAACGGGGTGCAATTATTCTCAGTAGTGATAATTTAAAACTTTGGGAGTATGGCTATCTAATGGAGAGAGACATTAAGCCTTAGATTTCTTTTCTTTGCTAAGTAAGCATTCCCAGAAATAAAAGCGTGGCACAGGAGCCAAACACTTATCTAAGGCAAACAGTACAGCATTTAAGTCACAAAATTTGACAAGACTGCATATTGTATGTATTTTTGTAGAGTTAGGCTTGAGAGTTAGATATGGGAAAGGAGCTCATTTGGAGTATATTTCTTTTTTCTTCTTATAGCAACACCAGTTTGGGTTACCTGTAGCTCTGCTTCATTTTGTCCTGACTCTAGACATAGAACAGGCGCTATCTGGGACACTGCTGCCCTGAACTAGAAAAACCTCTGTGAACCCAATACCAGTTTTCTATTCGAGTGATACACACCACGTGGGGTTCTTCAAAAATAGCTATTCAATTCAATAAGCATTTGGCACGTGCTTTCTGGGTTCCTTTGACTTTTTCAGATGCTGAGGGATATAGGCTTTAGTGGGAAAGAGTGAAGGAGAGTTAACTTGATCAGATTCTGAGCAGTTTACCACTATCTGTCTTTCAAGGCCCATTGAATTCTTGGAGCCTTCTTGGATAACTTTATAGTCAACACTAATATGCTCCTTTCTATCTGTCTTACATTCAAAAATATTTATTGAAGCCAAGTATGTGTGGTGAGTAACAACACAGGCACGGTTTGTATTTTCATACAGTTGACTTTCTAGTAGGAGGGAACAAGCAATAAATAAGGACACAAGTAAATATGACAGTTTGAGATGGTGAAAAGCGCTGTGAAGAAAACGCATGTCAGAGAGTGTGGCAAGTGGGATGAGCGCTGACTTATGGTGCATGGTCAGGGAAGGCTTTTTCAGTGGGCAACGCAGGATCTAAGAGTCTACTGAAAACCAGCAGCCAGCTGTGTCAGGGGAGGGACTGGTCAGTACAAAGGCCCAAAGGCAGGTAAGAGCTCGGATGACTGAGGAAAAGAAAGACCAGTCGGTCTGAGGCTAGTGAAAGTGAAGACGTGTGCTAGGAGATGGGGTCTCAGAAGTTGGTAGGTCTCGGACATCTAAGCCTTTGTGAGGACTGTACTTTTTCTTTTTTCCTGGTAAGTGAAATAGGGAGCTATGACAAGATTTTCAGTTTCACAGGACAAGCTCTGATTTAGGTTTTTAAGCAATCATTCAGATTGCTGTATGCTGTATGGTGAATGGATAGAGAGCAGTGAGAAGTGAAGGCAGATGGACCAACTGAGAATTTGTCACTTGCTCATTTTCAAACTAACATTCTGAGTGAGGGGTTCCCCAGTGCATGACAAGCTCCTTTAGGACAAGAACATGCTACTTCTCTTCTTTCTAGTCCCCTTCCTCCTTCCTCTTTTTGTCTGTTACTTCTAGAGGCTCTAACAGTGTTAGCCACATAATGGGCTCAATGAAAACTTACAGTGATCTGGATAACTTTTCTGCGAATTATTGCCACAACTTTTTGGATGTAGAATGGCCCAGCGTATTTGCCATTTACTTTGAATGTGTGGAATCAAGTGACTTCAGCTCCTTGGAAGAAGGTAACTGCATAATGAAGACGTGATGTTTTCTTTTTTCCTTCAGTTCTATTGAGGTGTTTTGTTGTTTAGTCGCTAAGTTGTGTCCAACTCTTTTGCAACCCCGTGGACTGTAGCCGATCAGGCTCCTCTGTCCATGGAATTCTGCAGCTGAGAATACTGGTGTGAGTTGCCATTTCCTTCTCCAGGGGATCTTCCTGACCCATGGATCAAACCCGTGTCTCCTGCTTTGGCGGGTGGATTCTTTACCACTGAGCCACCAGGGAAGCCCCCTATTGAGGCATAATTAACAAAAAAGATTGTAATGTATTTAAAGTATACATGATGAATTGACAGAGATATACATTGTGAAAGGATTCCCACCTCACATATTTATTTATCTTTTCTTTTTTTGGTGAGAACACTTAAGTTCTACTCTCTTCACAAATTTTAATTATACAATACAGTATTATCAACTATAGATACCATGTCATACATTAGTTCCTCAGACCTTAATTATCTTTAAATTGAAATTTTTTACACTTTTATCAGCCTCTATTTCCCCAACCCCCCAGACCCTGGAAATCATCATTCAACTCTATGTTTCTATGAATTTAACTTAAAAAATTCACATATAAATGATATTGTTCTGTATGTATCTTTCTCTGTTGGCTTATTTCACTTAGCATAAAGTCCTCCAAGTTCACCCTTGTTGTCATATATGGAGGATTTTCTTCTTTTTATAAGACTGAATAATATTTTTTCAATCCATTCTTTATATCCATTCATTCATCGATGGGCACATAGGCTATTCTCAATAATACCACAATGAACATGGAGGTACAGACATCTTTTCCAGATGGTGATTTTATTTTCTTTGGATATATATGCAGAAGTAGAATTGATGGATCATATGGTACTTCTAGTTTTAGTTTCTTGAGGAACCTTCATGGAAACTGTCCCAACTATACATTTCCACAAAGTATGTACAGAAGTTTCCCTTTCTTCATATCCTTGCTAGCATTTGTTATCTCTTGCCTTTTCATTTATTTAAAATTTTAATTAATTTTGGCTGCCTTGGGTCTTTGTTGCTGCACCTGGGCTTCAGTAGTTGAGGCGCATGGGCTTAGTTGCTCTGCAGCATGTGGCATCTTCCTGGAACAAGGCTCAAATCCATGTCCCCTGGACTGGACCACCAGAAAGTCTGTCTTGTCTTTTTAATAATAGATATCACCTCACATCCTAATATGTATGAGGTGATATCTCCTTGTGATTTTGACTTATATTTTGATGATGATTAGTGATGTTGAGCTTTTCACTTTTTACTTGATCATGGTGTATGACCCTTTGAAAGTACTACTGAATTTGGTTTGCTAATATTTTGTTGAGGATTTTTGCATATGTGTTCATAAGGGCCATGGCCTATAATTTTTTCTTAACAGTGTCTTTCCCTGGTTTCTGATAGCAGACTAATACTGTTCTTGTAAAATGAGATTGGGAAATGTTCGCTTCTCTTCTGTTTCATTGGAAGAGTTTGGG